AAGTCCCATTTGTTTATTCTTTCTATTGTTTCCCTTCTCTGAGAAGGCATGGTGTCCGAAAAGATCCTTTTAATACTGATGTCAAAGAGTGTACTGCCTAGGTTTTCTTCCAGAAGCCTTATGGTTTCAGGTCTCACCTTTAGGTCTTTAATCCATTTTGAGTTTATTTTGGTGAATGGTGAAAAAGAGTGGTCAATTTTCATTCTTTTACATGTGGCTTTCCAGTTTTCCCAGCACTATTTGTTGAAAAGACTTTCTTTTCTCCACTGTATGCCCTCAGCTCCTTTGTCAAAGATAAGCTGTCCGTAGATGTGTGGTTTTATTTCTGGGCTTTCAATTCTGTTCCATTGATCTGTGCACCTGTTTTTGTACCAGTACCATGCTGTTTTGATTACTGTAGCTTTGTAGTATGTTTTGAAGTCAGGGATTGTGATGCCTCCCGTTTTGTTCTTTTTTCTCAGGATTGCTTTAGCAATTCGGGGTCTTTTGTTGCCCCATATGAATTTTAGGATTCTTTGTTCTAATTCTGTAAAGAATGTCATTGGGATTCTGATTGGGATGGCGTTGAATCTGTAGATTGCTTTAGGTAGAATGGACATTTTAACTATGTTTATTCTTCCAATCCATGTACATGGAATGTCTTTCCATCTCCTTATGTCGTCATCCAATTCTCTCAGAAAGGTCTTGTAATTTTCATTATATAGGTCCTTCACTTCCTTAGTTAAATTTACCCCAAGGTATTTTATTCTTTTTGTTGCGATTGTGAATGGTATTGTATTCTTGAGTTCTTTTTCTGTTGGTTCATTACTGGAGTAGAGAAATGCTACTGATTTATGCAAATTAATTTTATACCCTGCAACTTTGCTGTAGTTGTTGATTACTTCTAACAGTTTTCCAATGGATTCTTTGGGGTTTTCTATATATAAGATCATGTCGTCTGCAAACAGCGAGAGTTTCACTTCTTCCCTCCCTATTTGGATTCCTTTTATTCCTTTTTCTTGCCTGATTGCTCTGGCCAGGACCTCCAGTACTATGTTAAATAAGAGTGGTGATAGAGGGCATCCTTGTCTTGTTTATCTGGGAAAGCTTTTATTTCTCCATTGTATCTGAAGGAAAGTTTCACTGGATAGAGTATTCTTGGCTGAAAGTTTTTGTCCTTCAGTATTTTGAATATATCATTCCACTCTCTCCCAGCCTGTAGGGTTTCTGCCAAGAAATCTGCTGAAAGCCTGATAGAGTCTCCTTTGTAGGTTATTTTCTTCTGCGTTGCTACTCCTAATATTTTTTCTTTATCATTGACTTTTGCCATTTTTACTATTATATGCTTTGGAGAAGGTCTTTTGGCATTGATGAAATTAGGCGTTCTGTTAGTTTCCTTTATTTGTAAATCTGGAACCATCCCCAGGTTTGGGAAGTTCTCAGCAATTATTTCTTTGAACAAGCTCTCTGCTCCTTTCTCCCTCTGGAATACCTATAATCCTTATGTTGCTTTTCCTAATTGAGTTGGATATTTCTCAAAAAATTTCTTCATTTTTTTAAAATCTTAGTTCTGTCTCCTCCTCCACCTGTAGAATTTCTACATTTTTATCCTCTAGAACACTAATTCTTTCCTCTATAACATCAGTGCTATTTCTTAAAGATTCTAGATTGTTTTTTATTTCATTAATTATGCTTTTCATATCCAGAATTTCTGCTTGATTTTTTTTATAGTTTCAATCTCTTTGGTGAAGAGATTCATTTTATTGCTGAGCCCCTTGAATTGTCTTTCTGTGTTTTCTTGCATCTCGTTGAATTTCCTTACGATGGCTGTTTTGAATTCTCTGTCATTTAGGTTCTGAATTTCTGTGTCTTCAGTTTTGGTTTCTAGAGAATTGTCATTTTCCTCCTGGTCTGAATTGTTGCTGCAGTTTCTCATGGTGTTGGATGAACTAATCTTTTGTCAGGACACTTGTGGTGTTTTTAGGTTACAGATTGCTCGTGTTACCACTAGGGAGAAGCAGGAGCAGCATTTTTGGCCCTGCCTTGTCTGCTCGATGCTGTGGGGGTATTTTGGGTGCATGCCCCAGCGTGGGGTGCATTCAGGCGCTTGTGTGGACTCTGCTTGGTGGGCAGGGCTTCCTGCTGAGACCTAAGCTAGGACCGCTCCTTTGCACTGCAGGGACACTATGGGCTACCCCTCCCCACCAGGAGAGTGATAACCAGTGAGCTAAAAGCTGCCACCACCTCTTTCCACAGCTTCCCAGGACATGTTACCTCTTTTGGGGCTCAGCAGCACTGTGAGCACGCTCGCATGCAGGCCTCAGCTATGCTTGCCCCAGTGCATAGATCTGCTGCAGTCTCTGTTTACAGTCTGCAGGGTTGCTGTGCTTGGCGGGTGGGGCTTTCTCAATGGACCAAGCTAGGGCCACTCCTTGGTGGCACAGGGGCATGGTGGGCTCCCGCCATCACCACGAGAGCAATCATGATTACAGGCTAAGGGTCACCACCACCTCCTCCTACAGTCGCCCCGGTGCATGTTCCCACTTTCAGGGCACTTGTGCCAGGTTGGAAAATGTTCATGTGCATGCACAGGGCTACTAGGGAGAGAAGGGCATGCTCACCTCTCTATGCCACTTCCGGGGGGACCAGTCCGACCACCCTCAGATTTGTAGCTGCATGTGTGTCTCAGGCGTCCTGTTGTGCTGTGTGGGCTCCCTCTGTTGGTCAGTGAATGTCCATTTACGTTGTAGCTCAAAATGGGAGAGACAGAGGGAACAGCTCACTCTTCCATGTTGCTGATGTCATGTACAAACATTCTGGTTATCCAATCTTTTAAAAAAAGAACTATATTTAACATAAAAGTACCATCTCAAAATGCATACTCATTCATATGTATTTTTTAATTTGGACATAGAGAAAAATCACTCCAGAGACATTGTGGGGAAGGAATTAAAGGAGTTTAAAATTGGAGGCAGGGACACTGTTACAATATAGTCCATTTGAGCTGTGATGAGGTGAAATGTTAGACTCTGTTGGAATGATTTCTTAGACGCTGGGGGCGAGAGGGAAGGATGTATTTGGGATGTCTCACTCATGAAGAGATGGAACATGTAAGAGAGGTAGGGGGCGCTTAGGAGGGAAAGAGATTGCGTTCTGTGTGCAGTGCAGCACTGTGACACCCTGTTTTCCTTGAAGGCCTCTCCTCCCTTGGCCTTCATGATACTACTTTATCCTGGTTCCCTTTCTCCTTTCACTCTCCCTGTTGTAGTTTTACCTCCCTCACCTGCTAATCAAATAGATAGTCCTCATAGTTCTATCGAAATCCCTTTTTTACTCTGTGCACTTCCTAGGCAGTCTTACCCATTCTCTTGGTTTTCCATGTCACTTCTATGATGGTGACACACAGACTTAAATGATGATATATGCAATTCTATATCTCTTGCCCTAAATTTTCAGCTACCTGTTAGATGTGTTACAGATACCTCAAACTTATTATGAACAAAAGCAGGATTTACCTAGAGCTTCCTGTTAGGATTAATGGAACCACTATCCTCCCAATCAGCCAGACTCAAATCTTGTGACTTGCCTCTGACTCATTCCTCATCTCCATTCACTCAGATTGATTCCACCCTAACCTCTCATATTTCCGTTTCTGAATGGAACAGTTTGTCCTGCCCAGGTTCAGATTATCTTTTGCCTAAACTCTTTGAGTAGTTTCCTAACTTGTCTCTGAGCCACCAGCCTCTCAATTTTCCAGTTCATCCGCAAGCTAGTACCAGGTTTACTAGCCTCCTAAAACATGGGTCAAATCCTATTGTCCTTCACTACTTATAAATTAAGTCCAGCTTTTTAACTCAAACAGTCAAGATTCTGTACATTTTCATTTCAAACTACATTTTCCCCACACCCAGTTTTTCAGCCATGTCACACTATTTCTGTTCTCTAAATTGAGCCAGGTTCTTTCTTGCCTCTGCTTTATAGTTCATGTGGTTGTATCAGTCTGGAATGTCCTTTTTCCCAGCCCCAGTGTCCCAACCCCAACTGTGGAAATCCTTTTCATCTTTTGTGGTCAGTGTAAGTGCTTCCTCCTTTGTAAAGCCCTCAGAGTTGGAATTAATTGTTCCTGTCTCTGCTCTCTTTCACTCTATTATGGATTTATTTTATTCTGCCTCCCCCACAGGATTGTAAACTCTGAGTGCAGAAGCTCTGCCTTATTGGTCTTTCTATCCTTAAGAGCACCTAGTGTGTTACTTCACTCAAAATGGCACCGTGGACAAGTGGTTGAGTTCTCATGCTCTGCTTCAGCGGCCTGGGGTTCATGGGTTCAGATCCTGGGCACACACCTACACACCACTCATCAAGCCATGCTGTGGCGGCATCCCACATAGAAGAACTGGAATGACCTACAGCTAGGGTATACAACTATGTACTGGGGCTTTGGGGAGAAAAAAACGAGGAGGATTGGCAGCAGCTGTTAGCTCAGGACCAATCTTCCTCACCAAAAAGCATAAGAAAAAGTAGCTTAGGAAGGGAGGAAGGCAAAAGGAGTGACAGGGCGCATGTATGGTGACAGATGGTAAGTAGTCTTTGGGTGGTGAACATGACGTAGTCTACACAGAAATCAAAATATGATGATATGCATCTGAAATTTATATAATGTTATAAACCCCTGTTACCTCAATAAAATAATTTAATTAAAAAATAGCTTAATAAATCTTTAATTAGTGTATGGAAACACACAATGAAATGATCTTCCCTCTTCTATCCACCTTTTCTCATTCTTCATTTTCTATTAGATTTAAAGATAATGAAGTTGCTCCTGTAAATAGATTGTTTAGGATAATTAGTGGTTGGCGTATAGTTAACAAATAATGCGGATACCATCTAGACAAAACTCATTAAAAAAGACATATTTGGAGATAATTTTATTGTTTGTATTTTATCATATATTATGTCGTGGCCAAATTCTATTGAAAAACACTTCACCATTTTTAAAATTTAGGATGACTTTGTCATTTTAGGTTGAGAATTTCTTCTGCATGGGATCCCCACTAGCAGTTTTTTTGGCATTGCGTGGCATCCGCCCAGGAAACACTGGAAGTCAAGACCATATTTTGCCCAGAGAGATTTGTAACCGGTTACTAAATATTTTTCATCCGACAGATCCAGTGGTGAGTTGCAGATACATTTTTCTCTCAATGTTAAATTGTTCCTAAAAGAATCCATAAGAAATCTTGCAAAGTACCATTGAATTAATGAGAAAAATTCATTTATCTGATTCTATTTGCGTAGGTTCCTGTTTTTAGAACTTTTATGTTTTGGTTAATTTAGGACTCAGGAAATAAAATATCTTAGAGTTGATCTGTTTATATTTTAACTTGTAGTGTAAGAGTATAATGTAAAAATATGATCTCTGGACAGTTAATACAAGGGACAGGAGTCATCTGGACTTTCAAACTTTAACCAGTTGTAATACTAATTAACAACCATAAATTTTTAAAATCCCACTTTACTTTTTTCTCTAAAGCATGCTACAATATTGAAATATGTTTGATAGATCCTCATAGAAATGAAAATATTTAAGTATTGTGTATTAAACATGAAAAAGTAGAAGAGTTTATTTTAGCCTGGTAGAATTATAAAATTTTGGATTTTTACATTCTCATTTCTTTGTACTGTAAATAATTTTTTTTAATGTGAACACTCCAAAGATCTTGCATGCAGGTAAGCAGTTTATATGCCAAGTATGATTTTTAGGTGAGAAAAATGCTTCCTTAAAATCTTTTTTTAGGGATAAGCTAGATAGAACTAAATTTTTTTTTTTTTTGAGGGAGATTAGCCCTGAGCTAATACCTGCTGCCAATCCTCCTCTTTTTGCTGAGGAAGACTAGCCCCGAGCTAACGTCCATGCCCATCTTCCTCTACTTTATATGGGGGACACCTGCCACAGCATGCCTTGACAAGCAGTGTGGTGTCCCCACCCGGGATCCGAACCGGTGAACCCCGGGCCGCCAAAGCGGAACGTGGGAACTTAACAGCTGCGCCACCAGGCCCGCTCCTAGATAGAACTAAATTTAAAAGAAACTACTCTCTATAGCATTCCTTCTCTGAAAAACAGCTTTATATAATTGGGTAAAGTTTTTTAAAAGATCTTTAGCTAGTAGCAAATAAATATAACATTGACTAGACACTACATTTTAGAAAATTACCCATATGTGAAAGAATCAAAACTGCTCTATTTAAGAATAACTTTCACTGACCTGGAGTCTAGTATTAGATTCGAATACAGCCTGCACAGTCCTGGCCAAGTCACTTCTGAGACGTGTTTCTCATCTATATGACGCACATGATAATATTTTACTTCATAGGGTTGTCAGGATTAAGTAAAATATATGTGAAAATACCCAGCTAGACGTTAAGTATTTCATTCATATACGTTCTGTTTACTCATTCTCTTAGCATTTGAACATGAACTTGAGTTCATAGTTGAACTCTGAGCTTTCAGAGAATACCCCATCCTTTGTATCATCTTAACTTTGTTATATGATAAAGGAGAGTTCCAAACTCATTTTAAAATATTATTAAAGTTATTTTTATTATTCATTTTATAGTTTTTCTTTGATTTCTTTTTGTATGCAATGGTTTTTTTAATGGTTTCTGTCAGAACTGTGCTAGGCAGTTTTTAAAAACATCTTTCTTCCCAACATCCTTGTGAGGTAAGAAGTGTTGCTCAGGAAGCTGAGGCTCTGAGACCTTGTGACTCAGTAAGTGTCATGCAGTTAGAGACAGAGGCCAGAGTATAAACTCTAGTGATCCTGACGCCAAGGCCATTGCCTTTCTGCCGTATCATCCTTGCTTCACATTAGACAAATGATCTTATGTCTCATCTAATTTGTGTTACTATATTAATTTGTTTGAAAAACAGAGTTCAGTAGGAGCTCCTAAAAATTAAAAATTGACCTTATTTCCTGTTTTCCAGTTTACTGTTTACTACTGTGGCTTTTTTGTGAGACTAACATAAATCTAATTGTTAGATGATATCAGAACATAATAAAAATGAATCTGTCTCTCTGAAAATAAATTAATGGGCACTATTAGCCTGGACTAACTCTCTTTTTCTTTTCGTAGTCTCATCATTAAGGGTATATAATTTGATCAAATACACATTATTAAGAGTGAACAAATAGGAATCCATGTTAGAAATTTCAGGTTTTTAAAAGTTCCCTAATGTCTACTGAGCATGCAATAGAATAAGAATAAACAGGATTTACTAAAATCCAAGCATTGTGCCTTAATGTTGTGTTTCTTTGAATTTTTTTTAATCAAGGCTTATAGATTAGAACCTTTAATACTGAAACACTACAGCAACATTTCACCTGTCCAGATCCACTGGTATAATACTTCCAATCCTCTACCTTATGAGCATATGAAGCCAAGCTTTCTCCACCCAGCAAAAGAACCTACCTCAGTTTCAGAGAATGAAGGCGTTTCAACAGTACCAAGCCCCGTGACCTCACCAGTCTTGTCCCGCCGACACTATGGGGAATCTATAACAAATATAGGCAAAGCAAGCATATTAGGTAATTTCTCTTCAGTATTCCTTATCAATGAGTATAAGCACTTTTTATATAGGCATTTAACTTTGGGGTACTTGGGAATACTCTATGTATTACAAAACGTCCAACAGTTAATTCATGTGTTTAGAGTTAATTACCTTCTCACTGATCGTATATGAGGGCCAAAAGCCCCTGTCGTTGTCTAGAATCTGAATAGCTGGATGCACTAGAAAAGGCCTAGGAATCAAGTCCCTCTTTCAGTCTTGGCCCTACCACTTACTGAGAGATATTGGGCAACTCACACAGTTTCTAATGCTCTGCTTCCTCCTCAGAGAAATGAGGCAATATTTAAGTTTTAAGGGTGCCCTAGCTAGCCAGTTCTCTGATCCAATTCCAAAAATCTCTAAACTGTGTCCTCCCTGAGGGCAACAAGGAGACTTAGTTCCCCTTTGAGTGATCTCCAGGACAAGCCACAGTGTTTGGTGTAGCATTGGAGCTCAATTATGTGAAACTTGAATTTGTCCATTGCTTTTGCTTGTAAGTTGCCTTCATGTAAAATGCCACAAGATGGCACTATAAATAGGCTTTATCTGCTGGACTCATTGATACTTTACTTGATCATATCACAGATTATCATCCACTTAATTTTAGTAGTAAGTATGTCAATGGTAAATATATGCCGATATCAGTGGCATGGTTTTTTAATTAAAGTTTTTAATCTTACTGAACCCTTTAATAAGCAATGATCACTTGAATAAAATACATAGAATCTTTATTCATTTGTTTGTAAGCTGTATTCCTAGAGTTGGTACAGCTCTCATTCTATTCAACACCATTTTTATTTAGAAACCTACAGTGTAAGTTGTCTTTTTGATACGTTCCCACCCTGGAACAAGTGACTAGGGCTTGGTCCCTATGCCAGTTGGCTGTGATTGTGGGTGGTGCTCTCAGCTTGCTACATGGTGTAATTCAGCAGAGTGACTGCCCTGTTTGTGAAACGCAGGGGCTGCGAGCATTGGAAAGGGGCTCGGAGGAATGTTGTTCTCAAGATTTGGACGCTCATCTGCATCACAGCCATCTGAGACATCCAAAGACTCCCTAGAAGATGAGAAGAAGCCGGCTGCCTCGCCTGCTACCACCACTGTGGCAACACAGACCCTTCCACACAGCAGTTCTGGGTTTCTTGATTCTGCATGTTAGTTCACACAGTTCTTTCCTTAAGTTTATACTGTATCTTTATAACACTTGAGAAAGGCAAAGGGGATTATGATATTAACACCAGCGGTCAGCTCTCTAAAACCTAAAGCATACTTAAGCTTTTAAAGAAAAAATACTTTCTCTCTGCTTACATTTTTACGAATAATCCCCAGGTAAATGCAGTTTTACTCTGCATTGGTGAATTAATAGATGAGAACGTTATTAATCAGGACCCTGTGGGACAGGCATTTTAAACACCAAGCATAAAACAAATCTATCTGGGGTAAGCACCCCTAATTTTTACAAAGTAGATGTTTTAAAATGTAGTCTTCTCAGCCTTAAAAATTCATGTAATTGCTTTAAACCTATGCTCTGTCTACCCCTGACACTTTTTAAATGCTGAGCCAGTGCCGTCCTGCTGGTAGTCCCCTGAATGCCTTCGTCCAACCTCATTGCAACCTTCAGAGCTTCAGTTGTCTTAGATCCACTGTGTGGCGTCCAGTCCTCTCCACCTACCTCAGGTGAAGTGGGAGCTCAAGAAACGAGCGAGTGAATGGATGGCTTAGTTTTCTGCCAGTGCATTTATAAGGTTTAAAATCTCAAATAGTAGTCAAACAGTAATACACTTCTTGTATATTTACTTTCAAGGGTCTAAACTTGAACCTTATTTTAAGTGTCCAGTAAAATAAGACTAAGAAGTCTAGTCCTATTTTTCCATTGGCTTATATGAGGAAACGTTTCTGAAACCAGTTACTTCCTTTCTGTAACTATAGCAAGAGGAAAACTTTCTCTAAAAGGTTTTAAACAGATTTCATTTCAGATACTTGTAGCCTTGTTTACTTACTGTGTCTGCTACTCTAAATTTTAAAATAACCAGCATCAATTCCCATCCATAAAACTTACTTGAAAAGGAGTGATAGCCCTGAAAGCTGGGTCCTTCTCCACAGTCAACCATACTCCAGGGTGAATTATCCTGGACATTCCTATTTGGGCCAATAGCATTTTTTAACTTAATCCTGTCTGTGTCAGACTGAGTGCTGAAAATTTTGTAGCTGCAAGCCTTTTGAACACTGTCTAGAACATTCTTTTTAGACTTTGATATATGTACAAAATTAATATTTCAGTTTTCTTTTGAGTTCCTATACCATTGCTGACTTAAGCTCTCACTTCTACTTAATATCAGAAATGTGCTCGTGAAAATAGAAAATGCTGTTGTGACATGCAGATGTCAAAAGAAATCTAAACTTCTGAGGAAAAATAATTTCAAAGAATTTTGTTAAATGGCAGGTAAAAAGTCACAGTTCCTTATAATGTTAATGCACAGTGATGATGCCAGTAAATGTTAGGGTGAGTGAGGGGACGAGAAGAGCAGAGGAGGGTTTGAGCCCCAGAAGAGGGTAATGAAGACATACAGAGAGAATCTATAGGATGTGAGAGACGAAAGCTATTTTTAGTAGTTTTACTATTTAAGGTAGTAATTTCAAAATGATGGTAGAGGAGCCTGTTTCTTCTCTTAGGGCCACAGTCAGTAGAAGTGCTTAGCTGTGTTGCGTCATTATATTTTGATAGCCTAACGAAGCACATTTTCTGTCATCCTTGCATATAAATTCTTTCTTAGTCCTAATGGTTAATTCCTTGTCAACTACAGACTCCGAACTAAATGTGAACTAATCACGAGTCTTAGTTACGTATATTCATCTCTAGACATAGATGTAACTAGTAAAACTGGAGTAGTACTACAGTAGAAGTCTATCTTTTAAATCAAATTCCCAAGATTTGCCTTACTAATTCTTGGACTTGCTTCAGTAATATACTCTTCCATGTACTCCTGATTTAGACAAATTCTTGTCGTGACTGCTATTTTGGCTATATCGTGCAAATCGTAAAACCTTTCTTTCCATCAGTCTTCTTTCTGGAATTTGGTCATTGTGACTGGTGATTTTGGCTTCCTTCCTTCTTTCTGCTCACATTGATTGCCTGATTTCTTCTCGATAATCTTTGTTCTGAAGCTGCCGACTTTGATTCTCTCGCTTTTTGAGGGTAAGATGGACACAGATTTTGAATTCATGAGTAATCAGGGTTTCTCTCTTTGAAGGATGTGTTGTCAGTTGAGACCATTTTATTATTATCAAGCTGAAATATCTTATATGGCTATTCTTCATTTCTTTTGAAAAGTCTAGGCTTATTTCCAGTAGTTTCACTGTTTCATTTCTTGGGCTCTGTATTTCTAACATATTATGAATTCTTTTAGCGTTGTTTTGCCTCTAGGTTAGAACTTAAATGAGCTATAAATTTTGGGGATGTCTGGGTGTTAACAGATTATGGCATTATATTTCAAAGTGAATTATGCTTACCTTTTCCACGTAAGAGCTCTTCACAAGAACCGCAGTGAGTGCTGCTTTGTGTGTGCTAGGTTCAATCAGCACGTTTAGGAATATTATTCTAACTTTTGGCCACTGCATCTGAAGGCCATTTGTAACCATCAGCCGACACTTTACAGCATCTTGTGTTTTTTTTCCACAGATTTCAGACTTCAAGAATCGTTCTTTAATCTCCCACAACTTCTTTTTCCGGAAAATGTAATGCAGAATAAAGATAATGCCCTCGGTATGGTATCTGTCAGGAATAGCATTCAGAGTATTGTGAAAATGAACTGCCTAGAGTTCTTCTGCTCATTGATAAACCGGATCAATTCTTCTATGAGATCAGCTTGAATGTTACCATTGTAGAGTATATGTATTTCCTTCCTGTATTTTCTTATCTTAAATGGTAGTGATCATGAAACCCAAGTATCGATGAGCCACTTAATATGCTAGAATACATGATGTTCCTGTACATGCCTACAAAGAAGGGCCTTTGGAGAGGGGAGAAAAGCATTAGGCTGCTTACTTTCTTCTCTTTGGACAATACTGGACAGTAGTCCTTTAGGACTAAAGGCTTCAAAGAGGTTCACTCTGCTTTTGGTGTAATACACTTAGATGTAAAAGGGTGTCACGGCATAAAGAATTGTCTCATTCCTAGTTATTTCAGATGTCAGATGCTACCAGGTAGGGCCATAGGCATGCCATAGCTGATAGCTGGTTTCAACACAAATATTTAATGTTTTGTTAGAGGGGTAGATCTGCTTAAAAAAAATTAGTATCATTGGATGCAAAAGATATTTTCAGTCTCCTAATTTTCAGCAGATTCTAAATGTATCACTAAGATTAATCTTAGCAGTTTAAAATTATTTTTATCATTAACTTCTCGTTTCTTTTTCCATAGCTCCTCTCTCTTGCCTTTTCTTTAATATTGGGTTTTGTCTTAACAAAAAATGTTACAGGTTTTTCTTTGGATTTTTAACTGCATCTAATTTTATAACTTCTGTATTTAATTGCTAATTTTCATTAATTTTTTTCTATTTTTAAAAGAAATTCTTGCTTGATACAAGTTTCAAAATAATGTTTTCATATAACAAGTTGATTTGGGGTTTTTTGCTCCATGGCAACAGTTTGCGTTGATCTAACTCAGTGATTTCACTTAAGAAGTGATCTTACATGAATGTTCTCTCTGGTCCCTGCTCATGTCCTATTCACTTCTGTAAAGAAATCACTGGATCTGTGCTTTTTGTATATTTATTTGGAGAAAGGAAAATTAATCTACTCATACATTGGTGCTGCATTCAAGTAGCCTTACATCCACTGTCTTAAAGCGATTCCAACTGCCCGAGCAATTAGACCACTAACCGTAGCTACACCACACTGGTTCAGATGGTCATGTGTATATGGCTTCTATTTTCTCCTCCCTTGTTGTTATTCATTCAACAATTTTATTAAGTGTTCACCATGAGCCAACATACCAGGGTAGTCAGTAGAAAAGATGCCCAGATGAAACAGACTTCAGTACTGCCCATAAAGATGTTAAATGCTACTGTAGAAATTAAAAATTTCCTAGAGGGCATGTACTTTACTAGGAAAGGTAGATAACTGCATAAATAATTGTAATATGTGGTAGAATGTGATGAACCACATAACGGAGGCACAGGTAAAGGACTCTGTCGGTTCTAAGGAATGAGAAAATACTTTCACCTGGAGAAATATGAAAGGCATTGTGGAAGTAGGATTTGGACATGCAGACAAAAAGACATTGCAGGGGAAGAAGCATCAGAAGCAGAAGCACAGAGGTGGGAAGCGTGGGTATACTGAGAATCAGAAGATGGTTTTCTTGACAAGAACCATGGGTGAGGGAAGGGGGTTCTGAATATGATTGAATAAAGTTTCTTAAACCAGATTGGAGAGGGTCCAACAAATCTGGCCGTCTCTTGGAGTTAGTTTGTATTCAAAATTTACCCATAGAACCTATATTTACCCACATAGCCCATGTGTGGTCAAATGTCAGGTATTTGAATGTCTTTCAGGGAAGATTAGTGTTGGGAAATTTTTTTTGGCAAGTATGACAACTGATTGTAAAACTCATTTTAGGATTTTTAGTTACTTTTTATCAAAGGATGACTGGAGAATAGTCTTAGACGCATTTGGAGCTATGATAATTCACAAAATGTAAACATTCTTTGAATGTCAGACACCTACCCTGTAGAAATGTATAGTCACCGTGAGGCAGCACAAAAATAAGAAGACATACCTTACCAACAAGAACTCTGAGCATAATCTTTCTTATTACAAATGAATCCTTCACCAGTCATTTGGAAACAGGGTTTCCTTCACTACTACTTTAAGTATTTTTCTTGGTGTCTTCCTAGAGCTGAAATCATGCAATTATGACCATAATTATTACTTACAAGTAAGATAACTTCTAAGATTTGTTGCACTTTTGAAAATTTCTCTCCAGGGAAGTTAAGATGCTTCCATTAAATGGTAGAAACCTGTCCAGTTAGTACACATATTACTAAGATGCTTACTTTCTATTCACATGTTATCTTTTTAATACTATATCCATGTTGACAAGCCTTGTGCATAAAAGGACTCTCTGATGAAAGCACAGGACTGGTGACACTATGTAGATTGCAGGGATTCACTTTGGGTCATGAGGAGGGGAAGTATGCCTGTATGTGTGACTCCCCAGAGAAGAAAATACAGTCGGCCCTCTGTATGCACAGGTGCGGAACCCACAGATACAGAGGGACAGCTAAGGAACTTGAGCATCCACGGATTTCGGTATCTTCAGGGAGTTCGGGAGCCAGTCCCCCGTGGATACCAAGGGACGACTGTGATCCATGTTTTAAAACAGTATAAGCAAACTGCTGCTGACTGTTAAAATCCCACAGTCTTTTTCTCATTTTTACTTCTCTTCAACTGCAGGAATCTCCTTCTTTTCTTTGTAGATAGAGAAACTCTAGCACTTAGGCACTCAAGAGAGAGAAAGAAGGACAAAGTGATGGCTTTATGTTCCCCTTTCTCTTTCACCTAACTCAGCAAGATAAACTAGCAAAAAAAACTACCAATTTGTGTGGCACCACCCATTCTTGAAATGGTGCTAATGGGAAAGTAGATCCAAGGCAACTCCATGTAGATTTGGGCCAGCGTTGGCTAAGAACGGATCTCACAGCACATAGAGACTGGTGCTGCCACGTAGAACCTCACTCCCTTGGGAATTCTGCCATCTCCATAAAAGGTGGAGGGAAGATGAGACATAGGCGCCCCTGCTTCCATCCATCCACCTGCAAACCAACACCTGTGGGGTCTGCTGCACCTGCAACCAGACTGCCTGGGCTAAACCTTTTAAGGAAGGCAAGAGACTAAAACAGGCTCATCAGGGACAAGCTGGCTGCCTGACTCCCGTTTTGATGGGGACAACCGACAGATAATAAGGATAGGGAAGGCCAGTCTAGTTAGCGACTGACTAAAGCTCCTGTGGGTGGCAGGAACAACAAAGGCATGTCATAGGACAATAATCAAATTTAGCACTTCAGTGTCTGGTGTTTGAGAGGCAGTGTTGCATAGCCATAATAGCATGTTAAGAGTAACACTTGTTATAACAGAAAAAAATCTCCTTTTCTTTACCTGTAAAACAATTCAGCTTAAGACTGTTGGAGTAGGAAGACATTCTACAGTGGCATTTGAAAGTGAATTCTTAGAAATTATAGCTTGGTGGTCTTCACCAGTATTAATGCGTATGTTTCCCATCTCTTCTGGTTTTCCTCTTATTTCTCCCTTTTTTTTTTAGTAACTAACTTCACCTTGACTCCTCTTCATCATGCTTGAGAGTTCCAGTTTCCTCTTTTTCATCTTCCTGTCTCTTGTGCCAGAATGTACCTAGAAATCTAACGCAAATGTCCCATGGAATATGAAAGATAAAAGATTAAGACATTACTGCTACCCCACAGTTGCACATACGGATTCCAGCTGCTTCTGACTTCTTGTGGATTAGTTTATCGTAATATAAATGAGCAAAATAGCAGTTACAAAAAACTTTATAAAACCTATGTCATTATATTTTATAGGTGTTTTATAAGCTAATTGGTATTTCTGCTGCTTAAGTGTGAACCTTATCTGAAAATGTATAGAGAGATCGATGGACATTCCTTGTCAGAAAAGCACCATTAAATAAAAAAATAGCAGCTGTATATGCATTTTTGGTCTTGTCACAAAATACCTGTTTAAAATAAGCATTAGCTAAACAGTGAGATGAAATCCTCCTCAAGAGAGATGTGATTTCCTACGAAGGGTTACCGAATTCCCAGTGTAAAGCAAAACCTGACTTTCTCCAACATCCTTAATTTTTGCCAGTTTTTACTTTTCACATCCTCTGGCATTCTGAACAAAGAACAGACTGAGTGTCTGAGTGGTGGTGATTTGGTTGTTTTTGTTTTTAAGATAGACCCTTCAAAATACCATAGGGGTCATTGACAGTTTTAAGGAGTTTCTGAAGATCAAAATATTTTTCTATGTGTTTTGTCGCTAAGGATTTATTAAATGAATCGATTGCATTTCTCCTATAGCCTTCTTTTGTTAAGATGATTTTTCTCTAACAGATATTGCAGGCACTTTCTGTGGGTTTTAGAAAAGACTTGATTGAATTCACTGAAGTGTTTGAGGACAGCAGTTACAAATGCAGTCCTTCCTCCCCGTTCCTCCCGCCACCCAGTGGGTGCTTTCATGGAGTAGACATTTACTGAGCACCTGTATGCCCCGGCACAGGGTAGGCCCTATTGACTGGATGGAGGCTAGGGTGGGTCATACTGCCTTTGGGGAGTTCAGCCAAGTGGGGAAGAAAACGTTCTAGGACTGTGAAGAGATGCTGGTGTTCTAGCACATCCCCAGAGAGCCAGTTGCTGTATCGGGCCTCCCCATGACGGAGCCGTTGAGCGCCCTGTGGCCCTCTCACAGGCATCATGGCGTGTAAGCCTGGCCCGTGATTGCGCAAGAGGGCTGTTTTCCTTACTTTACCCACTAGGCACACAGATTAAATGGGAAAGCCAGGAGTTGAGCCGAGAGTCTTTACTCCAAATATACTCTGATGCCACGTGAATGTTTTTGTTTTCTTCCTTTATATTCCATATTGATCTGGACTTGCAAAGGAAAGGACTCCACCGAATAGAATCCTGGGCTACTAAGGCCCTGAGTGTTTTTTCCCATAAGATTAAACTGAAAAGTCACTTAAAAAGAAAAAAATTAGGCGAATCACTTGTATTAGTTAAATTGTTATTCTCAACTCTAGTAAGTCTTTATAGACACTATCTTATTGTCATACGTATTCATTTGACTCCTTTTCTTTTCAGTGGAACTGGATCACAGAATCGATTTTGAGCTCAGAGAAGGCCTCGTGGAGAGCCGCTATTGGTCAGCTGTCACCTCGCACACGGCCTATTGGTCATCCTTGGATGTTGCCCTCTTTCTTTTAACCTTCATGCACAAGCATGAGCACAATAACAATGCAAAACCCAGTTTGGATCCTGTCTGAACTCTTGAAGGACATTAATGGCCCAAAACTCATTTTTTTCTGTTAAAATATGTGTGTCAAGGTATGGAGACTTCAGGTTTAAGTATGTTCCAATTTTGTTTAGAGCAAGAAATATTTGCATTTAAAAGCACTTTATTTTATTCTAAAAACAAAACATTTTTTCAGTCCGAAAGAAGTTATTTACAGGTTTCATCATTTTAATTGTCAGTCTGACAGAAACCCCTGCAGAGAATCAAGCAAGAAGTGAAGCAGGTTTGGGCGAACTGCAGGGTTATAAATCACAATCTAATCTCTCCCAAATATAGAGGCATATTAATGGGTTGAAGCTTATGTATTAACCAAAGTATGTTAGAAATCTAGAACGGTCAAGGTCCAGTGTGTTCTATGTAAAGATCAGGAGGTGGTATCATTGTTCGGATTTCTAGGAAAGCTTCCATTTCCAAAATGCCTTTGAAAGAAGAGTATGACAGATTGAAAGTGTTTGAATTTAACTTGTTTGGAAAAACTAAAAAAGAAACAAAATGTTTGAACTACTGTATTTATAATTTATTACCTCTGACTAATTGCTTTATTTAAGTTATGAAACATTGCATTTTTTTAAATGTTTCCTTTGAACAATTTAAGAACCATATTTATTTTCTACAGTGTTGTCTTTTTTCTCAGAACTCCATCTTTGTACTCTTCAGATGAATATGTAGACAGTGTGGCATACTTTGAGTAATTTTTCATTATAAACTTGTAGTTCCACACAAATAACACTAGTTCAATTGTATTGGGAAAAAATTAACTTTATATTACATCACATGTACCTCAGAAGAAGTAAAAGTTTTCTGAACTTGACAGAGTACTCCATAATGAGTACATTTCATTAACTTTATTGGAAAATTAGTAAACTACTTTGGAGTAGGGAGTGTGACAGCTATTTTAAATATATAAAAATCTTTGTGCCAAACAATTAAAATATATAAAGGGATAGAATTCCACTAACAAATTTTATTTTCAAAATGTTTAAGAAAACATGATTGAGACACACGGCACAATAGGTCAGGATTCCAAGGCATTGGGAGAATTTTCCTCAGCTGCAATTGTTTCCACAGTGCTTTTCATCTGAGGAGCTCAAAGTGCTTTACGATTCAATAATCTATGTAGTAGCTCCTTGAGGCAAGTTTTTCTCATGTTACATGTTAATACACTAAGGCACCAAAACATTTAAAGTGTCCTGAATTAGATTACAGAGCAAAGCAGAAGAGCCCCAATTGAAGCCAGACCACGTTCTTTTATATGCTGTTAAGCCACTAGTAATTCATATGTGACCTCTTAGTTCGCAAACAATAATAAGTAGTTGCAATTCGTAATTTGGAGAAATGACTGAAGCCAATATTTTACCCTTCCTGTCTTATACATTCTTGGGTTCTCACCCACAAAGGAGGAGTTACTAGAGGGGATTGGTAGCCATCTCTGCCACAACCAACCCTCACTTCTGAGTAGCTTCCACCAGGTTTCACTTAAGGTGCTGTCTTTGCTTATCTTGCAAGGATTTTTCTTGGCCTCCCAGTATCACTGTCAAACTGGGAGCGAAGCTGGTCAGTTGCACATCTCACCTACTCCTTTCTTTATAAGATAGTAAAATCTGTAGCTTACCTGTAAGCTTTACTCAGCACCATCAGTCCTCTTGTCTATTTTGGCCTTTCACTGAATTTGCACAACATAACAAAGCACTTCTTTTTAGTATTTAAAAAGATCCCAAGGCTCCGTGACCAAATATGTGACTCACTAAGAAATCCGTGCTATAAAAGGCTTCTGATGAGATCTTAGCAGCGCTGACGCAGTCTCTGTCGGATCAGAGAGTCCTGTGAGCTCGGGCCACTTTCATACCCTGTTTATTTCATAGGTCTAAGTTAGTTCTCGGAATATTAAACTCATGTCTCATATGACTGGATCATTGAAGATACCTGAGCATATGTTGCTGTGGGTGGTATGACACTCAAATGCCTACAAGCTCCAGAGGATTCATTCTTAACCACTACGGTGTGAAGAGTCCTTTTCACCTAAGAGTGAAAGTCTATCAAACCTTTTAATTTGATATTGAGTAAAAAGAAACATATTCCCATAGCTATGAAATATGTCTGCTTCCCTTTTTTCATATTGAGAAAAAATCAGATTTAACCATGTGGAGTTTATTTGAATTGTTGAAAAAGCAACATTCAAAACCGCTTTTTCAAAATGAGATATTCTGCATTACTGGACGGATATTTTGCTTTCAGTTCATTATTTCATCCATAGAGATGGTGATTTTGACTTTACAGTACTCTTGTTTCCATGTCTCTGCATGTTATCACGGAATGTACTTGTATATACTAACGTAATATACAGAATATGTGTAATTCTGGCTTGATTTAGAAGCTAAGTCAGTTACTGAGTAACATTTTGCAGCTTTATTTCAGCAAGTACTAAACTGGCCAAAAAGTTCTGGTTTTGATACCATTAAAATTTTATTCTCTATTTTGTGTACACGCTATGATGATTCTTCTAAGTACTGGGCAGATCGTTCGATTTTAATCCACTTAGGTTCCCAAGAGTTATTTAAACTTAGAATAAGGAGAATCTTTTGGATTAAATCTTGCTTTATTTTTACTTTAAAATTAGGCTTTGCTAAAGCCTTTTGTTGTTAGTTCATAGCTTTATTTTCAGCGGTAACCATGCTTATGTTATAATCCAGTGTTACTGTAGTTTAGAACATAATTACAAAATGTACTGGGTTTCCCAATAACTACTCCTCAAATGTGAAGCAAGCCTTCGGAATCTTACATTTTACTTCTATTAAACAGCATCTGTCAGTCTTTGGGAATTCTCACCCTGAATATGTTCTTTTGAAGGCCTCAGACAGTGATGTGTACACAGTCATCTTCATCTTCATTCTCTTTTTTTCTCTGTTGTTTCCTCTTTGGGAACTGAAGCGTCCTGGTCCTCATAGCATTGAACACACCATATCCCAGCTTTGCATCCTCCCAAAGAGTAGACAGAAGAATCGTCAATGCGCTCTCTTGTCAGCCAGTTCCAGCGTTCATTCCGGTGACGGAACGCAAGCTGCTTAAAGTGGAGGCAGACCAAACCTAGAGGTTGCACCATTAAGGCCTACAGGAGAGGAAAAATGATTGAGTTGCTTTTTTTTTCTTCTCCCCAAAGCCCTCTGGTGCATAGTTGTAGATTCTAGCTGTGAGTGCCTCTGGTTGTGCCATGTGGGACACTGCCTCAGTGTGGCCTGACAAGCGGCGCCATGTCCGCACCCAGGATCAGAACCAGGAAACCCTGGGCCTCTGAAGTGGAGCATGTGACCTTAACCACTCGACCACGGGGTCAAGCCCCTGACTTGCTTTTAATTAATTGGGTTGGTTAATATTTCTGTCTTCTCAGCTACTAATGAATAAGGCATTTGGACAATTGAGAAAACTAATTTGTATGTCTTAAAATTGTTTTTGAATAATCCTTTTTTAAAGATTGGCACCTAAGCTAACAGCTGTTGCCAGTCTTCTTTCCTTTTTTTATTCTCCCCAAAGCCTCCCAGTACACAGTTGTAGATTCTAGCTGTGAGTGCCTCTGGTTGTGGCATGTGGGACGCCGCCTCAGCGTGGCCTGATGAGCGGTGCCATGTCCACGCCCAGGATCTAAACCGGCGAAACCCTGGGCCACTGAAGCAGAGCACCCAAACTTAACCGCTCAGCCACAGGGCCACCCTGAATAATCTTTTGTCGTTATGGACATGGGACTGAAGAAGGAATATATGATGTTAAAGAAGAGTCAAGGCAGAACTAGAAAGAGGCTGCAGTCATACACTGGAGAAAGAACTAGAATGTGACTAAACTGAGTGTAGGGTAGTTGACTTTTGTGGTTATTCTCAAATTGTGTCTAATCCATTTTCTGCTGTCATCCCGGGGCCTCATGGTCTGCCAGGAATTGGATGGTATACTCTGGCTCAATTTGAAACACATAGATTAAAATATTTTTATGGTTATGGGCAATACGTATAGTTTCCTAACGTTTTATAATAATTTGCCTACATAAAAACCTTTTGCTGTGCCTACAAAGAGCAGATTTGACAGGAAGCACTCCCCTGAGCTCTGTTACCTCTGGATGGGTCTGGGGAGCCAATACAGCCATGCTGTCTCCCTGCATTCTTCTTTTGCATTGGTCAAGGGAAAAGGAAGTTGTCAAGGAGATGCAGCGTTGAGCTTAGAGCAGTGTGCAGAATGGCAGGGGCATGGAATTTCGTCTGAGGTCTCATTTAGAAAATGTTAGTGCAGTGGTAGAAACATCTTGGTTATATACATCCTGTTTCAGTGGATGTTGGTGATCATTTTCAAAGAATCCTAAAATTTCAGGCTTTGTCCAGATTTTAGAGGTTATATAGCCCAGTTCTGTTTTAGTTTCATGTGAGCATTTAAATAACATGAAGTTCATGAGAAGTAAAGTGAGGGGCGGCATTGAGTGGTGGCATGTGAGGCTCAGCCCAAATGCTCAGTGGTGGACTGAATACACAACAGCAGAGGAGGGAAGAGGTGGAGTCCCGAAGGGCCAGCCCCGTTAGCAAGGCAGACTTCTAAAGCTGGCATGGGTGGGGAGGGCATTCCCCAAAGCGTGTTCTGCACATGTTAACAGCTGTTGTCTCAGAAAGTAAGTTTGAGAAATGCAGTTAAAGATTCCTTTACAGCAGGACGTGAGGAGCCTTTGATGCACTCAGTGCAGTGTGACACTATCTGGTGCTGGGGCGGGGGCAGTTTTTCCAAACTTAGCTAACCAGAGTTATGTTTATTGGAATATTCTTAGAGAAATGCTGATCATATTTAATCCCTGCATTTTACAGAGATTGATTCCTTCATTTGACAAGTGGGTGTTCCCACCCTGTAAGATCCCATGGCCAGCCAAAGACGGTCAGAATTTGAACCTGGCTCCCTGAGTCCCAGCTGTGTCTTACTCCGTCCTGCCTCTTTCCTTCCCCTAGTTAACAGGGAACTGCTGAAGGACAGGAACCAGCTCTCTGCATCTTTTGTGCCTCGTCCCCACTCCCCACCCTCTTGTGTGACCTGACACTGTTTGTGCTGCAGCCTCTCAACAGATAGCTGTAAGCCTGAGTCTCCAGTGGTCACCTTGTTTCCAGGCCCTCATAAACGAGTGACCTGCCAGGCCTGGACAGACTTCCTTCCATATCTCAGATTCACAAGATCCTGGAGAAAGAAAAGCAAAAGAATAAGAAAATTAAATAAATTAAAAACACAAAATACCCAGGAAACGTGGTGTTAGTTGTCCATTCTGGTGACAAATGCAAACTTGGTAGGGAGACAAGTTGCACAGTGTTGAATGTTTGGTATTCCTTTCCATAGTGTTTATATGTTGCCCTTTCATCAATTCAGGACAAGTAGATAGATCCCTTCTAAAACTGTTCCATCACAGGTTAACTAATAGAAATTTTAAAATTTAAATACTGTACTTTTTGGAGAATAGAAGAGTTTTTGCTGCTCTGTGTGTGTATGTGTGTGAGAGAGTGAGTGTGTATGTGTGTGTTTTCCCCAAAAATAGTCTCTTGGCAGAGACGTAGCATGCACTTTTCCTCTGCCTTTGTATTTGAATGGGGGGAATGAGCTTAGTACTGTCTGTTACCTTCTGGTTTTTCGTTTATGCATAACAGGGTGCAGCTCACTTCCTCCCCACCCTACCGTTGTCAGGGCATGTGGGGACGCTATTTAGGAAGGGTACATCTGGTCTTCTGTTGGAGTAAGATGAAAAACAAGTGTGTTAGTACTTCAGCTTTAATGCTTTCTCCTGGATGAGCATCATTCATACCTTTCCTTGATTACACCCACATACACTACCATCTCTGCTTCATCTTTGAAAATATTTGACTCCCTGTGACCATTTTCTGGTCCTAAGGCTGTCATAATAAATCCAAACTCTGCCAGTAAGAGTCTGGGGCGTTTTTTGCTTTTTGCTCCTACGTAGATTTCTCAGAAGCAGCCAGCACTGTGACTCCCCTGAGAGCCATGTGTCGCTTCCCCCTCCGGCGTCCAGGACCTGTTCTCACGTTCAGGCTCCCACACAGCACCAGGGGCTGTCAGTGACTGCAGGAAAACTCTTAGAAGCTGACCTTTGTCTTTTCTCTTTCTTTTGTTGCCTCTCATGTTCAATAGTCGAGGCAGGGTAGTTTTCTTAGAATCTTCAATTTTCCTGACGCATTAGTCCTGTTCTATCTCTGCGGTGAGCAGCTTGGATGGCAAAAAAACAAAAAACAAAAAACCATAACTTTCATTTTAGATTGTCCAGTTTTGATTTTTCTTATTTGGAACTAGTGCGTGCACATAGTTCAAGGAAGTGAGAGGTAAATGTAGTTTTCTCCTGGCCTGACTGTGTTTCTCTTGCTGAATTGACCCATTCATTATCTCGTTCACCAGAAGCATGTAGCTGTGCCCCACGTTAAACAACCTCAAAGAGTAGGCTGTTCCAAGCATTCCTGGAAACGTAATTCTGATCCCGTACAGTTCATGGTAATCTTCCCAAAAAGTTTATGAAGAGTGAAAGATATTAAAATCCAGCTATTCATGAGCCGTGGTCACCCACACTGCCTCTTACCAGGAGGGTTGGTGGCCACCGTGGCACACTCCTTCCTCGAGAACATCAGAGGATAGAGTATGTGTATGGGAGAAGATTGACACATTCTCATCTTGGAGCATATAATCCATTCACAACTTGTGAGTCCAGGGTTCAAGAGTTATCTTTCAGACTAATCTGAACATGTGGTAACTGATAGAAAATTAACTCCAAGAACCAGTGCAGACTGGGGCCAACTGCTACTAATTCCCACTTAACCTCTCACTCCCACGTCCTTTGTTGGTGCCAGAGTAACAGAAAAGTAGGTTCTAGATGTACGTTGTAAGAATCTAGGAATTTCAGTGCTGGACAAAAGTAATTCCCTGAATGGATACTGATCTGGGATTGGGAAGTAAATGGCCAGGATGTAGGACTACATATAGGATTGAAGTGGGACAGTTGTGTGGACTGGAGAAAGAAAAGGCGAACGTTGGGAAGGAAAGAGACTTGGTATGTGGTCGTGATGATCTGACAGCTCAGATGTTTCAGAAAAGCTAGCCCAGGGGCTGTTTCTGAGAAAGGGAGAATAGAGTGATAGGTCTGATCACAACATTCCTTCAATTGAAGCCCTTTGACGACGCCAGTTTCACTGGAGGCTCCCCACAACCTAGCCCAACCCAGCTCCTCTGCCTGACCTCCCACTGCCTGGCCTCAGCAGTCATATTTCTATTACAGCAAGCTGTGCACCACTCGTCTAAGAATGCATGCATTTTAGTTATTGTAGTGGTTACCCGTTGTGTTTGTCTGCCCAACATCCTATTTCTCCTCTTGGGTCCTTTCCTCCCCATCTCCTTATGAGGTACCGCCCTAGCCCTGCCTATTCCCTGTTCTCATAGGCAGCCAATCCTATAAAACTCTCCTTG